AGATTTTGAAGAGAGTTCAGCAATTCTGACCACCCACACAGGGAGAAGCACTAATTTGTGGATTTGATCTTATACAAAGTCTTTGCCTTTGAACTTTCAGGACCTGCTGGCTGAGCTCTCCTAATGGTGGGGGATTCCTTTCGAGAAGCATCTGTGGGTACTTGCCACTAACTTCCCTTCCCTGCACCTGCCTGACGCCGAGGCTCACAGGTGGGCGGGGTTAGAGCTGCGGGGCAGCCAGCCATGCAGGTGTACTGCTTGCTGTAGGCGGCTTCCCCTAGCGGGCTCCAGCTGCTGGGCTGAGCTTCAATATTTCCTGTTTACGGTAATTAGAACCTTTCAGTCTCAATTTCTTACAAGAAAGATTCCAATTCATTAGGATTGTCTCCTTGATTCAGTTCGCCTGGACCTGGTTATTGCAGTTTGTTTGGGGTGGGGGAGACCAGCGCCCGAGCCTTCCCATATCAGATTGGTAAAACCAAGGTGCTGAAGTGTTAGCTGAGTTAACTCTGTAGCTACTGCCACAGTTCCATCCTTGTGTACACACAGTCTGAATTCTCGTGTCTATGAAATGGGGATAAAATAGTGACAATTAGGGTGGCCAGATGACTCAGTGGGTAGCTGCAAAAGCCTGACAACCCAAGTTTGATCCCAAAACCCACATAAAGATGGAAGGAAAGAACCAATTCCGCAAAATTGTCCTGAGGCCTTCAAATGGGTTCCATGGTATGCACACACACAAATGAAAAAAAAAAAAATTAAATCGTGAAGATTAGCTGGTGGCTCACATCTGTAATCCCAGCACTCAGGACACAGGCAAGACATTTGCTGCCAGTTCTAGGCAAGCCTGGTCTAAGTGTGAGTTTGCTGGCGGGGGAAGAAAAGAATTAATATGAAAGTCAGATAATGCATGTAAACCAGAAAGAGAGCAGAGTAAATACTCAAAACACCAGTAACTAGTATTTCCATTAAGCCCCTCTTGTCTTTAGAACCCCTCATATCCTCCTGTTTCTCAGACTCTGGGCTCCCCTCCATGATCATGGGCCATTAGACCTTCCAAGCTCCCACGCACGCACGCACGCATCTGTGACTCGGGAGTAGAAATGGAGTCAGCGTCGTGAGGCTGCCGTGAAGTTCAGTGCAGATTCGAACACCAGACACAGAGCTGGAAAACTACACACTCCTAAGGGCTGCTAGGAAACTCTCGGAAAGCCCGAGAGCCCAGTGTGCAAAGCAGCCTTCGGGGTTAACAAACGCCTGAGCGAGCTGGGGCCTTAAGGCTCTCTCTGTGGCTGCTGTGCCCCTGTAGTGCTGTGCCGGGAATGCAGGAGGCAAGTGCTGATGTTAAGGGAGTAGATGCTGATGTTAAGGGAGAAATGCGTTTGTTCAGACAGCCTTTCCAAGACTGAACACAGTGGATCAAATCATTCAAATGCACCAAGCAGGGGAAAAAAACACCCCACCCCAAAAGGTGGTTTCCTCTCCTCTCCTGTCTTTAACTCACCTCCCCACCCTCCCCCGGATTTGAAAACAAACCAAAGCAATTCCAAGTGTTTGATGTTACTAAGGTCCAGACATTCTGCTAAGTACCATAGAGATAGCATCTCTTTTGACTTCAATCCTGAAAAGTAACCCCAGCTGTCCCCAGTTTACCGCAGAGAAGCTGAGAGGGAGAGATGAAGCAGTTTGCCTGGGGTTCCATACCTGAGTTAAGGAGCCATGGTTTGAAGCTGAGCCAGTGGGGTGGTTGGATTTCGGAACCAGTCTTTCCACTTGTGGTACCCCATCTCCAGAGGTACAGGCTGGCTCTCTCTTGCAGTTCCCTGGCCTTAATATTATCTGGCTGGTGCCCCCCGCTTTTTTTTTTTTTTTTTTTTTTTTTTTTGGTTTTTCGAGACAGGGTTTCTCTGTGGCTTGGAGCCTGTCCTGGAACCAGCTCTGTAGACCAGGCTGGTCTCGAACTCACAGAGATCCACCTGCCTCTGTCTCCCGAGTGCTGGGATTAAAGGCGTGCACCACCACCGCCCAGCTGCCCTAATCTGAACTGCTCTCTCATACATGAAAGCTGTTTTGCTTGTTTCTTCCTGAGCCTCTTTCTGTGACTGACTTCCTTACCCAGCTTTGGGGAGAGTAGGTTTCCAGAAAGGGTGGGCAGGCAGGTCTTCTGGTTTTAGTAGTTTTCAGAGCCTTTGTTACATTAGAGAGGTACAAAATAATATATAGAACCCTTGGGAAACAAGTATTTGAGTTATGTGAGTTAGAGCAACACCAAGAACCTAAAGGGAAGATGGGAGATAGCTCGGTCAGCATGAGGGCCTGAATTCAAGCCCCAAAATGGATGTAATTTTTTTAATATTCATTTATTTATTTATTATGTATACAATATTCTGTCTGTGTGTATGCCTGCAGGCCAGAAGAGGGCACCAGCCCCCATTATAGATGGTTGTGAGCCACCATATGGTTGCTGGAAATTGAACTCAAGACCTTTGGAAGAGCAGGCAATGCTCTTAACCTCTGAGCCATCTCTCCAGCCCCAAAATGGATGTGATTTTAAAAAAAATTTAGATTAGAAAAGGTTTGCCGACACCTGAGGAATAATACTCAAGGTTGTCCTCAGGCCTACACACACATACAGACATACACACACATACATACACATATACAGACACCTACACACACATATACACACAGACACACATCAACACATATACACATACATACATACACACATACATACACACAGATATACACATACATACACACATATACACACATACATACACACATATTCAGACACCTACACACGCACATATTCAGACACCTACACACATATGAAGGCGTAAGTCACAAACAATGCCACACCAGTTTGGAATTATGATTAATAGGGTGGTATTTATTTAAAGGGGAAAAAACTTACAGATCACCGTCAGCCCTCTGCGCAACCAGGAAGGAAGTCTAGTCGCTGGCAGAGCAAGAAGTGAAGAGAGAGAGGAGAGGGAATTGGCCGCTTTTTTAAAGGGAGAGAGACCATGCCCCAATGGGCTGGTATCTCAGCAGCTATAGGCTGGAGGAGTGGGAGGACCTCCCACAAGACCTCCCCCTTTTGTTTAAATAAGAGAGTTCTAAACCTACTATGAAATTATATACAATAAGTACAAATATCCTATTCTAACTAGCTTAGGTCTTGTATAATAAATAACTTGGCCAAGTCATGAGAGAAAGAATCTACATTTATATAGTCTTCAACCCCATCGAAGATCCGAGAAGGGAAATAATGTTACCTGGGTCATTAGGAAGTTCAGTAAAACAACTTCCAAAGCCGGGCGGTGGTGGCGCACGCCTTTAATCCCAGCACTCGGGAGGCAGAGCCAGGCGGATCTCTGTGAGTTCGAGACCAGCCTGGTCTACAAGAGCTAGATCCAGGACAGGCTCCAAAACCACAGAGAAACCCTGTCTCGAAAAACCAAAAAAAAAAAAAAAAAAAAAAAAAAAACAACTTCCAAAACATGCAACAAATCACAGAGACAACTAGCTACCTGGGCAATCACCCAAACTCACATTAGCAGCGTTGAAGCAACCAACTTTGGCTAAGGCCTAACATAACTGACATACCATTTTCAAAGGCAAGCAACTTTTCAAAACTATCTTACCCTGTCTTGGCAGGATATGACAGTCCTGTTTTATCCATTGATGCATGCACTGCTTCTGGAGATCAGGAATTATTTGTTTGCCACAACTGTGTATCTTGGACCTGTCTTGGCTTCCTATAACAATATGATGACCAGATATGTGTGCAAGCATCCCAAAGACGTCAGCCTGCGACAGTCCTGGGTGGCTTCTGTGCTGTGTGCTCCTCCTGACTTGTCCTCTTTCCACCCCAGTCCCATGCATGCAATATGTTTTCCTTACTGCCTGTTGATAATTTTAGATGGTTTTTTGGGCATGCAGTGGTAAATATTGCCATGCCAGAGACTGTGAATGGACTCAAACAGCCTTGGCATGACTCATCCACCCACTTTTGGAGTCAGGGAACATCAGGGTAGGAAGATAGACAAAGGGGCTTTCTTGTTTCCTCTCTTCACTTGGCCAGGTCTTGGGCCCATACAGCTCCTTTGGTTGGAATACTATAACTGGTGCCTCACCCAGGGGTGGCTTGCTAGTTACTAGTTCTAAAATCTTACCTCATGGGCAAGCTGTGGTATACTTCTTTAATCCGAGCACTCAGAAGGCAGATGCAGGTGGATCTCTGTGAGTTTGAGGCCAGCTTGGTCTACATAGTTCCAGAGCAGCCAGGAAAAAAAACCTCCATCTTTTACTGTCGGGGAGCTCATCTGGTTACCTTCCAAGGTAAGAGTCTGGGGATTACAAATGCTAGGCAGAGTAGACAGAGATTTAGGACAGTGCCGGAGGGCAACTCTGAATCTGCCCACATTTATTTTCCATACGCTTATACACCCCAATACAAAAAGGGTGGAGAAGGCAAAAGACTGCTTTAACATGACACACAATGGGCATGACACAATGCTTGAGACATCAAGTCACTATTTCCTGAGTTAGCATTCTGATGTTTGGGGCAGGGTATGCAGCATAAACCCTAGACCAAGAGTCCTGTAGGCAGCCACTCCCTATGTCAAACCTCCTGTTCTAAAATGAAGGGGCAGGAATAGGCTTGAATTCTTTGACCTTTGGTCAAGGTGGAGCAGATCCACCTCTATGAGCCTTCTTAAAGTCCAAGACACCAAGTAACCACACCCTAGGTCAGGGTTTCTTGTTTGTAGCCACACCTCTTTTCAACAGCTTTGAAAGAGTAAAAATGAGCTCACACTCTGACCTTTAGTCACAGTGGAACAGCTCCCATCTGGGAACCCCACATTTTACACTGACTTGCTTCTCCGGCTGCAGCAGCATTCTAAAGACTGGGCCTCAAAGCCATGACATAACCAAGGGTGGGCAGTGGCCTGAGCTGCCGTCCTAACGTGCTCTTTTTCATTGTGCTGCAGACTTGCTGACCATGAGGGAGTACCACTGTCTGCTGCAGCTACTGTGCCCAGATTTCCCACTGGAACTTACTCAGAAAGCAGCCAGGTACGTATGTCCCAAGTCTGAGTCTTCAAGTCAGCTGTACTCTGTGGACCATAGCTTCTCAGAGAAACCAGAACAGAGTATCTCAGAAAAGGCATTAGAAGTTGGGCAGTGGTGGCACAGGCTTTCAGTCCCAGCACTCAGGAGGCAGAGGCAGGTGGATCTCTGTGAGTTCAAGGCCAGCCTGGCTTATAAGAGCCAGTTTCAGGACAGCTAGAACTGTTGCAGAGAGAAATCCAGTCTCAAAAAAACAAAACAAAGAAACAAAAAGTCAGAACTTAAGAACAGAAATATGAGCCGGGCAGTGATGGCACACACCTTTAATTCCAGCACTCAGGGAGGCAGATTTCTGTGAGTTCGAGGCCAGCCTAATCTACAGAGTGAGTTCTAGGACAGCCAGAGATACAAAGAAAAACCTGTTAGGAAAAACTCCTAAAACCAGCAGCTCTGCCGGTGCAAAGAAATCCAGTTAGGTCAGATCAACCAAATCAAAATGCCATCATTTTATTGAATACGATGCTCTCGGGTGGCCGAGCGCATGACGGGGAGACAGGAAAGCGGGGAGCACATGCAAACCCAGAATCTCTTTAGTGTTTCTCCTCTGGGAGCCCACTTAAATACCCTGTGGGAGTGGGCATGCTGGGATTTGGAGTCCAGACTAATGCAACTCCCAGGCCAGGGGAGCGGGGCTAGGATGAATGCCAGGGGCTGGGGCTCTCCAGACTTAACAAAACCCCTCTCAGAAAAAGAAAGAAAGAAAGAAAGAAAGAAAGAAAGATGCCTCTTGTAGAATTCTGATAAGGTCTGGAGAAGGATCTGGCCTGGTGGGGCACACCTGTGGTCCTCCTAGGACTCTAGGGGAGGCTAAGGTAGAAATTTTGAGTTCAAGGCCAAGGCTAACCTTGGCTCCAAAGCAAAACAAAACAGAATATTTAATTTTTTTGTGTATATGTGTGTGTCGGTGTGAGTTTATGTGCACCACATGTGCAAGAACACCAGGAGGTAAGAAAAGGAGTTAGAGCCATTGTGAGCCACTTCATGGGTGCTAGGAGCCAAAACTAGATCTACAAGAGCATCAAGCGCTCTCAGCCACTGAGCCATCTCTCCAGCCCCATCAAATAGTTCTTGGGTGCCAGTTTTATGCAAGTAGCTGCTATGAATACTGAGGATAGAGTCATTAATAAAATGTATTCCTGTCCCTCACAGCGCGGTGTTTAACGTGGGCCTCTTGAGTACTTGCGCTGCCTGCCAGCACTCGCCGTGTGTCACCCTGGCTCCGTTCACTCCAGGACAGCCATTGTCTTCCCCTCCCTTCTTTGTATTTATTTATTTGTCTATAGAATTATGCATATGGATGCTTTGCCTGTGCACCACTTATGTGCCTACTGCCCACAGTGGCAGAAGAGGATGTCAGATCCTGTGGAACTGTGAGCCACCATGTGGAACTGTGAGCCACCATGTGGATCCTGGGAATTGAACCTAGATCCTCTGAAAGAGCAGCCAGTGCTCTTGACCACTGAGCCCTTCCTTTTCCATTCTTGGTAGTACAGTAAACAGAAGTTGCAGCTTGGCATTTGCCACAACCACTTCCCCCAGACTTCTAAGTGATCAGATTTGTGTAAGCACTACAAGATCATAAATAATAGGATACTTTGGAAACCACAAATCCTGGTCTAGATGACTCAGCAGTTAGGAGCACTGCACAGGCAAGAGGACTGGAGTTCAGATCCCAGAATCCACATAGCAAGCCAGCACCCCACAAACATCTGTAACTCCAGCTCCTATGGCCCTGACATGGCCTTCATGTGTGTACACAGATACATGCAGTAGATACCCCGTGCATGAATGTATACCACTTTACACACACACACAAATAAGCAAGCTTTTATTAAAAAATAATTATTTATTTATTAAGTATACAGTAGTCTGTCTGCATGTTTGCCTACAGGTCAGAAAAGGACACGAGATCTCATTACATCTGGTTGTGAACCACCATGTGGTCGCTGGGAATTGAACTCAGGACCTTTGGAAGAAGAGGCAGTGCTCTTAACCACAGAGCCATCTCTCCAGCTCTAAACAAGATCTTTATTTTAAAGGTTTAAAAACAGGGTGGAGAGACGGCACGATAGTTAAGAACATTTGTTGTTCTTACAGAGGACTTGGGTTCAATTTCCCAGCACCCACATGGCAGCTCACTACTGTCCGTAACTCCAGTTTCAGGGAATCCAGTGCCCTCTTCTGACATCCACAGGCACCAGGCTGCATGTAGTGCACAGACATACATGCAAGCAAAGTACTCATGAACATTAATAATAAATCTAAATTTTTTTAAATAAATAAAAGTTTAAGAACAAAAATAAATTCTTCCTTGTTGAGACAGGACCTCAGGTAGCCCAGACTAACCTAGTCCTCACTGTGTATCCCAAAATGATCTTAAAATTCCTTTCTCTGGAGAGATGGCTCAGTGGTTAAGAGCATTGCCTCCTCTTCCAAAGGTCCTGAGTTCAATTCCCAGCAACCACATGGTGGCTCACAACCATCTTTAATGGGGTCTGGTGCCCTCTTCTGGCCTGCAGGCATACACACACAAAGAATACTGTACACGTAATAAATAAATAAATAAATCTTAAAGAAAAGAATTAGTTATTAGGGTTTTTTTTTGTTTTTGTTTTTGTTTTTTTTGGTTTTTCGAGGCAGGGTTTCTATGTGGTTTTGGAGCCTGTCCTGGAACTAGCTCTTGTAGACCAGGCTGGTCTCGAACTCACAGAAATCCGCCTGCCTCTGCCTCCCAAGTGCTGGGATTAAAGGCGTGCGCCACCACCGCCCAGCTAGTTATTAGTTTTAAAAAATTCTGATCTCTAGCCTCTACCTCTCAAGTGTTGGTAAAAAACAAAAATTCTTAATGTCATGGTGCTTTGTACAGTTATCAACACAAAGAGGTTTCTAGGCCCCTGTGGGAAGAGGAACTGCACCTCTCACTATGAGGAATGGGCACATCATAACCAGCCATGCCAACAACAATGTGAGGAATTGTGAGTGTGCCATACAAATCACAGCACACTGGGGAAGTCCACGGGGAGTGCCTGCAAGACTCCACTCAGCTGTGTGTGCTGGAGAGCTCTAACCATCCAGAAATGCCTCTCGACTGTGAAGCTCTTCTTGCTTTGTCCTGAAAGTCAGAATGCCAGCTTCCCCATCCACGGGCCCAGGCATCTGACCAGAGTTCCAGATGTGGGTGGTTAGCTTGCAAGAAGAGGAACTGCCCTGAGCCATCCACTGCCAGCTTACTTCTTCAGGGCCCTGAGGTCTGGGCACAGGCTGCAGGAGGCTCCATCTGTGGTGATGCTTATGGAAAAGAGCCTGTGCATGTTGGAGCATTTCCACAAGGGCAACAAAGCCTTCTGGCCAGGCCATGGGCAGCAGGTGTGATGGGCTGGGAACACAGAGCAGCCCAGCCAGACAAGCCCTCCCCCTCAGCATTCCTTCAGAAATGAGAAAAGTTAGACCTGTTATCCCCTATGGTCACTAGAGCATCTTCATCTCATCTTTCCTGATCTGCTGAGAGCGTGCACTTGGGGCTTGGGAATGCAGAGAACTTCACAGCGTGTGTGAAGCCCTGGCTCAATCCCCAGCCCTGCAGAACAAGAGTTATTCTCTCTGAGTCTTACCGTCCTTATTTGTAAGATGGCAATAATGCTGAGTGGTGGTGGCGCACGCCTTTAATCCCAGCAGAGGCAGAGACAGGCGGATCTCTGTGAGTTCGAGGCCAGCCTGGTCTACAAGAGCTAGTTCCAGGACAGGTTCCAAAGCTACAGAGAAACCCTGTCTCGAAAAACAAAAAACAACAAACAAAAAAGATGGCAATAATAATTGTAATGTGCTTCAAATAATGCCTTGCACAGATTAAACTTGCAGTATGGGTTAAAAGTAGTACTATCTAAATGTGACCTATAGGAACATAGGTGTGAGGACGAGGTGGATACGCGATGAGGGAGCTGGAGAGATGGCTCAGTGGTTACTGCTCTTGTGGAGAACCCACGTCAGGTGGCTCTCAGTTGCCTCTAACTCTAACTCCAGGGCATCAAACACCCTCTTCTGGCCTCCAAGGACACCACACTCATTTGCACACACAGGCATACCAACATGCACATAATTAAAAACAACAAAACCTAAAAAGAAGAAAATGTGAATATACAGCCTACCAGAACCCATTCACTGGATGGCAGTAAGGACATCCATTCACTGTGCTGAGCTCTATTCCTGTTTCCATAAAAGGGAATAATCATAATCATAAAGTTTTGTGAGATTTCAGTAACAAACATGTGAATTGTCTAGCAAATCCAATAAGTATCAATTTAAGTCAGTAAACAGGAGGCAGAGGCAGGCACAACTCTGAGTTCAAGGCCAGACTGGTATACAAAGCAAGTTTCAGGACAGCCAGGGCTACACAGAGAAACCCTGTCTCAAAAAAACAACAAATCAAACATCGTTGTGCATGCCTATCTTCCTAGTATTCATAAGGTGAGGCAAGAGGATCAGGAGTTCAAGGCCAGCCTGGGATACCTGACACCTTATCTCAAAACAAAAACAAAAAATAAAATGAAATAAGAATATATAAATAAGTAAATAAATAATTCACTGTTATGACAATGTTGATATTATTATTACCAGATTTTTTTTAAATGGAGCCTGGAGAGATGGCTTAGCAGTTAAGATCACCAGCTGCTCTTCCAGAGGACCTGGGTTCAATTCCCAGCACCTGCATGGTGACTTACAACTACCTATAATTCCAATTTCAGATCTGATGCCCTATTCTGGCCTTTACAAACAATGTGAACACATGGTACACAGACATACACGTAGGCAAAACACCCATGCACATAATAATAAAATAATGTGTGTTTTTACTTAAAAACAAATGAAAGTGCTTTCCAGCTTTTTTCCCCTTTTTAATACTCAGAAGATGATATCTAACAAGACATCAAGTAAAGACAAGACCACAC